TGTATAGAATATGTAGATGAATCTTCACAATCTTCATAATATTTAATAAAGACTTGGGGATACTGCACAACTAGTTTACAGTTTTACTATAAGTTGTTAAACTATATAGGGTGGATCTATTCGAACAAAAATACAAAAAGATTGTGCTAAGAGACGCTAACAACAAACATCCAACCATATATCAAATGGCTTGCTTTTAATACAAGGTTCACTCGAATATGGTATTACACAGGCTCAAAAACATATATCTAAGAGAATACAAATCAAGTATTTAATTATATAGCTCTATGGTTTGTTTAAAGCCTAACCCCTTCTTATTTTTATTTTACTTTCAACACTAATCTCAATCATAATAGGGTAAAGCATGTGACAGCTGAGATAGAAAAAGAAGAATATAATCCTAGTAATCTCTCCATTATCTTACCTAAGAATGGTCCTACCAGTAAGCAATAAGAGACCGCATTAGTAAATATTTTGAAGATACTAATCTCAAGATTTAGGAACGAAAGAGCCAATACGAAGAACACATATAATCTATACTAATAATACCACGTTTGACCATGACATCAGAATTGTATTTCTAAACATTTATAGAGATACTAATGTGTTATTTTATAACTTCCAAAGTATTCCTAGTACCTGCAGATCGGTTAGAACTATATTTTCCAAACTAAGAACCATGCTGCAAAATATTAAATATATAAGTAAAAAATATTTTATCAATATTATTATTATTACTAGGAAAAGAACCCGTGCGATATCGCACGGAAACTCATTTTATAAAATAATATGCTACTCCTGATATCGTAATAAATATATGTTAATTTTTATTGATATGATCCTTCTAATTTATAATATTACCTTGAATTTCTAAAACACCAACATTTTATTATATTAAGATAATAATTAAATAATATCAGTCCAATTAAAAAAAATATAGATTTACCTTTTTGAAATTATTTAATGGTTTTGTATTGAATATTATAAATAATATTTAAGATAAAGTGGTATTAAGATAAAAAAAAAAGTACTCTGGAATTTCACAAAAAGTTATATCCACCAATAGTTGCAATACTTCATTTAACCTATTGCAGCTATTCCACCATAAAAAAAATGCAATGGTTAATTTAAACGCTTGTAAAGTTTCACTTAAATCTTTAACAATCATTTCTCATTTATGTGTAATAATTGATTCACTAAATAAATATCACATATATCATACTATGCATAAAAGAAAATATTTTAATAAATATAATTCTTAGGATATAAATATATATTTAGACATTTTGACAACTTTTAACCTCATTAAATCCTTAAGATGAACTAAAATTGGATATCATAACAAAAATATGTTAGACTGGATATCATAACAAAAATATGTTAGACTTATATTAATATGACCCTCCTTATTTATTATACTACCTTAAATTTACAGGAAAGTTTTTATAAAACACCAACGCTTATTATATTAAACTAATGCAATAAAAATTTACTAAATTGATAAATCAAGGATTTACCTTTTTGAAATCCTTAATGGTTTTTATTTTGTGATTGTTGCGATTTCTGGTTATGATTTATCAATGCTCACAACTTCTTATATAGAGGAAAAAAAGTTGCAATGATTGGTTAATACCAAAAGTTACAACAATTTGTCACCAAATGCTACAATTACCAACAATTGTAATAGTTCATCACCAAAAATTACAATGGTTCATCACTAAAATTTATATTCACCAACATTTGCAATGTTTTACATAAGCGGTTGTAACTATTCCACCAAACACCTGTAATAGTTCCTTAATCGGCTGCAAAGATTCACTTAAACCGCTAATAATTCTATGTGTAATATTGATTCAGTAAATAAAGAACACATATCATAACTGATAGATAAATATTTTTCTTAACCAATGAAATAATTAGGATAAAAGATACAAATTTATTAATTTTTTCAACTTCTTTTAAACTCATGCAATTTTTAGAATGAAGTAACACATTATTAGTATGCAAAGACACATTTTGGACATTTAAACAAATATAATTATTAAAATAAAAACACAATTAAGATGAAATGACATACTTATATATTTTGATAACTTCTTTTAAACCAATGCAACTTTTAAAATGAAAATATACATTTTAAAGATGAAGAGACAACATTTAACATTTGTTTAGTTATTATAAGTCGTATTTTTATAATATATTATGAATAGAAACATCACTACAAAAGACACTCCATTACATATGAAAGGTATATTTTTAACAACTAATCAATAATTAAATTGTCTTTTATGCCACAATTCATAAAATTAATAATTTACAAATACATACTTAAAAAAAATCCAATAGTTTCACGTCCGAAAAAAAAACTAATCTCATTTATATGAAAAATACAACTCTAATAACTTACTAGACGAAGATAATACTATCGTTATGTAATTTAGTCAAACAACATAAACGAATTTTCCTTACTGCTAGTCAGTTCATTCGTACTCTTTTTTTTTTTCTGAAAATATGCTTGCTCGTTCGTTCGTACTTAGAAATATCCACTGATTAGAGAATTCCAAAAATATGTCCATAATTGTTCCTCGTGAAATCATCTTTCTCTTTTAACAGCAATTAACTCTAAATATTACAAAGATAATTTTAGAGCTTCAAGAAAGTAGTCATCTAAACTTAAGACGTAATAAATTTTTAACAAGTTATACTGGTCGACAAAAAAACTTGAAAGAGAAGCAAGGGACCATACAAGATTATAAATAATGGGTGAGATTCGTGAGAATAACCTCAAAGAAGGCACGAAGTTGTTTTTCTGTGAGTTACAGGGAGAGATTAATCTCGTCTAAATTTTGAAGAAAAGATATTTCAAATAGAAATTTAAATTCCGACAAACAAGTTGATCTTACATGATGAACAGAGAAAAAACATGTTCTCGAAGACCTTCTTGTTGACGTTCCAATGTTACTTGAACTGTGGGATATGTTCCACCTTTACTAGTGATTGCGGAATAAGTTCCAACATTCCTACCTGGCTGCAAAGCATTAGGAAATAAATGGATAATGACGCGAAAACCAGGTGGAAAATACAAAGCTAGGCTTGTAGTTCAAGGATTCTGACAGAAGGAAAGCCATGACTATTTTGATACATATTCTCCAGTAACGAGAATAACATCAATAAGACTGATGATAGCAACCGCAGCCTTAAGAGACCTAGAAATCCATCAAATGGATGTAAAAACCGATTTTCTAAATGGTGATTTAGAAGAGGAAATTTACATGAAACAACCCGAAGGGTTTGTCATTCCTGGACAGGAAGGCAAAGTATGCCGACTAGTAAAGTCACTTTATGGGCTTAAACAAGCTCCTAAACAATGACAAAAAAAATTTGACAGTACAATGATGTCAAATGGTTTCAAAATTAATGAATGTGACAAATGCATATACTACAAAACTACCAAAAATGCGTATGTTTTGCTATGTCTATATGTAGATGATATGCTCATTATTGGAAGCAATAAAGATATTATCAATCAAACAAAGAACATGCTCAAAGGGAAATTTGAGATGAAAGACTTGGGAGTAGCATATGTAATTCTCGGAGTTAAAGTCACAAGAAATTCAAAAGGAATTACATTAATCCAAGCTCATTATGCTGAAACAATATTGGAGAGATTTAAAAATTACTCTAATAGCACAGCAAAAACTCCGTTAGATCCCCAAATGCACTTGACGAAGAACTCATGGGAAGCGGTTTCACAAAACGAGTACGCACGTGTGATTGGAAGTCTCATGTACTTGACCAGTTGCACCAGACCAGATCTAGCGCATGCAGTAAACGTACTCAGTCGATATACAAGTAATCCAGGTCATACGCATTGGAAAGCTATAACGAGAGTACTCAATTACATGCGCTACACCAAAGATTTTGGGCTTCACTATTGTAAAGAACCAGCAGTTTTAGAAGGATACAGTGACGCTAACTGGATATCAGATTCTAAAAACTCAAAATCCACAAGTAGATATGTCTTTACACTAGGAGGAGCAGCAATATCATGGAAATCTATTAGTAGATTATTTTTTATTAAATTAAATGAAAATATGATTTTTTTAAGAAAATAAAAAAAATGGTATGTTAAAGTTGGATACTCCCTCTGTTTTAATATAAGTGTCACTCTACAGCTATGCACACGGATTCAGGAAACAATTAATTTTACATATTTCCTATATAAAAACACAATTACCCACACACCTAACCATATTTTAACCAATAGAAAAACAAATTACATACTCCCTCCGTTCGGTTTTATTTGACGTTTTACTGATTTTTCTTTGTGTCAATATACTTGACGTTCACATAATCCTATGCGATGAATGATGAAATATGACTATTTCTACCCTTGTATTTAATGCTCTCTAGTAATAATGATATAAGGTCAAGTTGATATTAAACACAAACGGGAAGGTTAAAATAGATATTACATTACATTTCTTAATTGATGTGCCAAGCTGTAAAACGTCAATTAAATCCGAACGGAGGGAGTAATAAAATTAATAAATTTTGCATTGAAAACCGAAAACAACACTTATTTTGTAACACAAAAAATTCTCTACAACGACACTTAATATAAAACGGAGGGAGTATTAAATATAGTACTAGATGCAACAATAAATCAAACAAACTATCAGAAGAAGTTTATCTCCCATTTTATTTTCGACAATTAACTATATAACTAAAGTTAAAACAAGATATACAAGACAAATTCGTTGAATCAACTTATGAATTATCCAACTGTATTTAACCAAAATTTATTTAATAAACCAAAATTTCTGGTAACTATTTACGTATGTACAAGTGTCAAGTGATGACACATCAGAGCCAATACGAAGAACACATCTAATCCCTCTCGCTTCCCACTACTCTCCAAGAAAAATGGTTATTTCCCTATAAATACTTTAACGCAACAATTGCACAAATCTCATTGAAGCATAACACAAAACGCAACAATGTCTACTCCCATCACATTTACAACCCTCTGTCTCATGATCCTCTCGGTGTTACTACTTTCCTCGTCCCTAGGCAGCGTCACGGCGAAGATCGTTGAGCAAAACCTGATGGAACGGAATATATTCGAGCGGTGGCTTGTGGAGAATCACAAGAACTATAATGGTCTAGGAGAGAAGGATGAGAGGTTCCAGATCTTCATGGACAACGTGAGGTTCGTGCAAGAGCACAACTCGGTCACTAACCAGAGTTACAAACTAGGGTTGACCCGGTTCGCTGATCTGACCAACGAAGAGTTTCGAGCGATGTACTTGAGGAAGAAAATGGAGAGGACTAGGGTTTCGGTGAAGGCAGAGAGGTATCTACACAAGGTTGGAGATAAGTTGCCTGATGAAGTTGACTGGAGAGCGAAAGGTGCCGTTGTTCCGGTCAAAGATCAAGGAAACTGTGGTATGACTTCAAGTCTTCTTCTCTTTCGAATTGCGTTTGCGGTTATTGTGTTTTATGTTTCGTGTTATGAGATTTTTTTTGGTGATAAATAGGAAGTTGTTGGGCGTTTTCGGCGATTGGAGCGGTTGAAGGGATTAACCAGATCAAGACAGGGGAGTTAGTATCTCTGTCGGAACAAGAACTTGTTGATTGTGACACAAGTTACAATGGTGGATGTGGTGGTGGTCTCATGGACTATGCTTTTCAGTTCATTACTGATAACGGTGGTATCGACACAGAGGAAGATTATCCTTACACCGCCACTGATGATAACATATGCAATTCCGACAAGGTAAAAACCGCTGATCATACAATGTGTGGTTAGCTCATTTGGAAAAGCACTATAGACAATGGTTAGAGACCACATGACTAAGTGACACTTGGAACAAAACTATTATTACATGTTGTGGGTTCACCTTAGAATATCTACTATTAGAAAGAAAAAAACCTGTTAATCATAATGACAATGCTTTTTAGTTATTCTTTTTTTTTTTTGAATGACTAGGAGGTTAGTCAAAGAGTTTTAGATACTAGGCTAGTGGTATGCTTGTTTTGTAGTTTTGATTAGACTCATGGATTGTACTATGTTTTGTTCATGCAGAAGAACACTCGTGTTGTTACCATCGATGGTTTTGAGGATGTTCCTGAAAACGATGAGAAGTCTTTGAAGAAGGCTCTCGCTAATCAACCAATCAGTGTTGCAATTGAAGCTGGTGGCCGAGAGTTCCAACTTTACAAATCAGTAATATACTAAACAAAAACCTTCATGTATGATTTTTTTTTTTTTTGCATTACAAATTGATTAATGGTATATATGTTTTTGTTGTTTCTTCAGGGTGTGTTTACAGGAACATGTGGAACAGCTTTGGACCATGGAGTAGTAGCTGTTGGATACGGAACCTCAGAAGGTCAAGACTATTGGATTATCCGTAACTCATGGGGATCGAACTGGGGAGAGGGCGGATACGTTAAGCTCGAACGTAACATTAAAGATTCGTCAGGGAAATGTGGTGTGGCGATGATGGCTTCTTACCCAACCAAATCATCTAGCTCAAACCCACCAAAACCACCACCACTTTCACCTGTTGTTTGTGACAAGTCTTACACTTGTCCAGCCAAGTCCACTTGTTGTTGTCTCTATGAGTACAAAGGCAAATGCTATAGCTGGGGATGTTGTCCGCATGAGTCAGCTACTTGCTGTGAGGATGGCTCTAGCTGCTGTCCTCAGGCGTACCCTGTCTGCGATTTGAAGGATGGTACTTGTAGAATGGTTAGTTTCTTGTTCTCTCATATGGCTTAAAAGACTTTATGCTTTTGTTTGTTACTTTTGACTGATTTGTTTATGAAATTTGGACAGAAGGCAAACAGTCCGTTAAGTGTAAAAGCTTTAACCCGAGGCCCAGCGACTGCGACCACTAAGGCTACTAATGTGCTTGTGAGCAGCGCTTGAGAAGAGACGAAACGAATAAAGGAACTGTTTAGTGTTGAGCTTTGTATTCTCCAAGATTCAAGATTTGGATCATAGTTTGATAACACTTGTTACTTTACTTATGTGATCTTGGATTTGATTTGATTTGATGTACAATGTTTAAGAAGCAATCTTATGATTGCTCCATATAGCATTATTCTCATATTCCTCTGAGTAATAAAAGTTGACACAACTGAAGTTGAAATGGCATTTCCATATAAGTCTGTAACAAACTTTTGCTTTAACGTGACGATTAACTAATTAAGCTAAAGCTATCCACTACTTCTAAATAACTTCCTATCCTCATGGCTAAGACGAAGCAGAGTTTGTTAGGTTTATTTTAATTAGCTTAAAAATTAATGAAATCAGAACGCTAGATAAAATAAATTGGTTGCACGTTGTCCGGCCATTTATCACTTTGCCTATGCTCTTATGATCTTATCTAACCAACCGGCAACCTTCTCTTCTTTACTTGTTCAACAACAAGTCATCAACTAAGAAGAACTGTTCAACCTTCAGACAATTACATTTTCTGCAAGACAAACGAAAGTTTATTACAACTATTAAACAAAAGACATAATTACATAACCAAAGCCAATGCGTTTTTGTTTGACTTATTGAAAGAAAATAGAGTTAATTTGCAAAAGTACCCTAATTCTCACCTTAAATTAGTGAACTAACCCTGATTTGACACTTGCTTTTAGTCGGACCATTTTACCCTTCCGTGTTTCGATATACTACTCTCTTAGACTCACGCGCCTACGGGTAGCTGTGTCAGAGCGCCTCCCACGTGTGTTTTATTTCCCATCAACCTTTTTGTTTTCCAGTAAAATCTTTTGCATGCTTTTCTATTTCGAAATTTGAATTTCTTCATTAATTTCTGTAACTGTTAAAATTTATCCCACCACTCTGAATAGTAACCTCCCTCTGCAAATCAACTTCCCATCTTCCCACTACTTTCAATCTTCGTTTTTAAACTGAAAAACTTCCGACTTTCTTCTTGAAAAACCTCCGATGGCCAGTCTCAGCCTTCCTAGACGATATTTTGCTTGTGGTGATGAACCAGTAGACGACAGAGTTGTCTCTTACCACAAGTATCGAAGAACAGAGCAACTAATTGAAGCACTAGACGAGGACGAGTTAGCATTTTTCCACCGAACTCAATTCTCGAAGGTCCTCTCTCTCGATCTCCATTTTCCGGCGCGTTCTGTCACTTTGTCTGTGTTCGTATGTTGAAGACCCGCAAGCTCTACGAAATTTGGCTTGTTTTTGCTGGATACCCAATAAGGATCTCTCTTACAGAGTTTGCAATAGTCACCGGCCTCAACTGTGATAGGGTTCCTCCATCAAGGAGTAAGAAAAGGAAGAATCCTCTACACGAGAAGCTTTATTGGAATGACTTGTTTGGGTCGTTAAAGTCTGGTAGCGTGGATACGGTGGTTGATATGCTTAAGACAAGGAAGGTTAAGGATAAGGATACTCGCCTCAAAATCGCGTCTTTAGCAATCACCGCTTCTATTCTAGTCCCAACCTCCCACTCTCCGAAGATTCTCCCTGATCACGTTGAGATGATAAGAGATCTTGATGAGTTCCTCGCTCTCCCTTGGGGAATGACATCCTTCCAAAATATAGCTAATCATTTACTTCAGAAGGATGCAGTCTCACTAGCGCAAGATTCGTTTGCCCTGAAGGGATATGTTGAAGCCATTCAACTTGTTATTATCGCCGCTGTTCCAGATTTGAAAGAAGAGGTGGCTCACTCTGCCCCCATGGTTGTTGCTCTTTCCGAAAGCGAGGGTGAGATGGATGCTGAAGAGGAAGCACCGCATGTAGCTGAGGAAGGGGATGCCGAGGACTTGCAATCGACCCAAAAATTTGTTGTCAGGTTGCGCAATGCGAGAGAACTGAACACAGAGTGCCAGGTTAGTGTCCCAAAAATAATTTTAAACGGAAAAAGTAGTGATTTCGGAAAAAGCATTTGTTTACCGTTAATACGCAGAACACCAATGATGAATGATCGTTTCATATTACTGTATATATGCTCACCCATTTGTTAAGTATTAGTAAATAATCTTTGATTTGTAAACATATCGTTGACATCAGGCGTAAATTCATAATCTACGCCTGAAAATAAAAAAAGTACCCGTAAATATCATTTTTACCCGGTATTGAAAATTTTTCCTGACATACTCATTATTGCCAGCAAACATTAACGGTTATTTTATTACGTTTGCGTAGGTGGCTGTTAGATCAATACTGAGCGACCCTGACGAGGAGTCGTATCTACAACATGACTTCTCCTGGCCCGACGAAGAAGATGATCCCACCGTCGATAATATGGTGAAGCTTATTAACGAAGGGTTCGAATTTGACAACAAGATATTCAAGGGAGGTATAACATCTACAGACCTTCAGAAGCTAAGGGGACATAAACAAAAGGGTAAACAGCCAAAACACAAACAAGTTCCAGCAGATTTTGGTGATCAATCAGAGGTTCCGCAACCGCGCCAAGTCGATGTTGATCCGATTGCCAACCTCGTCTCATGGAAGATTCAGAAAGAACTTGCCTCAGTTGAGTCTCGCATAGCTAAGGCCGTGGACCTACAATTACAGTCCAAAATGAAGGCTATGGAGACAAGACTAACCAAATGTGTTGTAGACAACATCCACGCGATGAAAAGGGGAGTTATAAAGGCAATTATAGATTACCTGAAGAAGACAACATCTTCAACGCCTAGCATTTCAGATGTCCCACA